TTCCCCCCACTTTGATCTTTACTTGGACATTCACAACCTTACCCCTCCCACCCAGAAAGCAGAAGTGAGCCCATCCCTTATTGAGAGGGTCTCTTGGACGCTCTTTTTTTGAAGCCCCACAGTATAAATTCCAGATGTGAGCTGCATCTTTAAGTGTCTCGGGTGTAGGTAATTTTCTATGAACACTTCAGAAAGTTGGACAGAAAACATAAAGTGTGATTTATTTGTTCCCTGTGATCAAACAAGTATTGCTCGTTTGGCGTTCTACCTGAACAGCAGGGTTCCTCTTATCTGAGAGGTGCACGCCAACATTCACTGTTGGGTCACCTGCAACTTTAATCTTTTTCTGGCCTACTCTTTTTTTTTTTTTTTTTTAATAATAACAATATGTTCCACTCTGTGATAAAAGCATGTGGGAACTATTAATCATAGTACAACATGAATAATTTGCTAAACACCTGTGTCGCATTAAATGTCTCATCTTGCAGCTTGCAGCTAATAACACAAAGCAAGGTGCAAAAATGGAAGTTTCAGCTGTGTCTGCAAAATGGTGCGAGGGCAGTCGAGTCTTCTGAAAACAGCTCAGGGCTGCTGGGATTCTGAGCAGAGGTTTGATTTAAAACTTAAATAAGAACCAAGTCAAGCATTAATAAAATGCAATAACTTGAAGGTCTAATAAAACACTCTACAAAATACAAATCTCCACGTAAATATGACAGATTTATAGTCCTAAAAGAATAACGTTCCTCAAAAAATGTGCCACTGTTTAAATAAAACATTCACAAAACTAGATATCCACACAGGAAATTAATTAATTAGACTGTATGGCATCCAGTTAAAGTGCATATCAAATGATGAGGCGAAACATTTAAATTTTTTAGCCTTTTCAATAATTATGTACTCTAGAAATTCAGTCTGGTTAAAAAGACTAATGTTTCCGTACAACATTTTATCTTCAGATCATAAATGCTGCAACCACACATTTATTTCTGCATAATGAGTTGCGTGAGGCTGAGTTGGACTGATGACCTGCTTTGGAAATAAGCTGCTTCTCTGCAAATGTCAACCTAATGCTGCTGAAATAATAGAAACAAATGATGTGGTGCGTGCAAACATTTCCATAGATGTGTCATTGTTAGAAACGATACATATTTATCAAATCTTGAGCTACTGCATTAAGCAGTGCGGTACAGTAATTATCTTATATTATGTTGTCATTAGTCAATTAATGGTTGCTTTGGCTCAGTTGGAGGATAAGGGGTTTGATCCCCAACCCCAGGATATTGCCAGTCTCCAATGCACCACTGCTTCCAATGAAACACCCCTTTTTATCATCAGTCAAATAGGTCTATGGTTCAATAAGTATCTTTAATTTTTACGAAAAAACATCAAATCTCATAAAATGTTGAATCATCTCTCTCTCCCTCCCTCCCTCTTTCAGGCTGTAAGTCCTGCTCCTGTCAGACCTTTACTCTCAAGTGCCTGCTGCAACTGTCTGAAACTATCTTGGAAATAAACTTCAGAATCTCCAGCCACAACTACCATCTGCATACAACATATCCCATGACTCTCCTCTCCTAATTAGCTCAGTAACTGTGTCTATCACAATAATAAACAACAGTGGGCTGAGACATGAACCCTGCTGAACGCCAACTTTAATCTCAAATGCTGTTGCGTTGCCTTTGCCAGTTCTGTTGTTTTAACACCTTCTTACATGGAACTAACAATCCGGACTAACTTCTCCGTAATGCCTTAATGAAAAAACATCAAATCTCATAAAATGTTGAATCATGTTCAACTCCAAATGTTTCAACAGTCCTTACTGTTAATTTAGCAAACTCTGGTGCAATTGTCCTTTCTTCTGAATGATAATTCTTCACTTTTTAATGAAATGGACTGTAAAGGCAAAGTCAAATCCCTGGACAGAGGCAAACAAAACAAATTAAAAATACAACTATGATCTAATAAATAACACGCAGTGTAATTTCAATGTGACATTACAAAATTAAGAAAACTTAATTAATAAATTAAAGCTAGATCAACACCCATTACCTGAGACTGCGTTTTACAGGCAGTGTTGTTGTTGACAAAAAAGTAATAAGGCTGAGGAGCAGACATCAGACACGAGGTGGAAGATGGGACAGATAAGATGAATGTTTATTGATCCTCAGCAGGAAATGAACACACGCAGAAAACAGAATTCAAGTCGTGTTGATGAAAGTAGCGTCGAGAAGTGACAGACTCGTCGGATCTTTCCCTGTTTTTCTCATTTCAGAGTTGGCGTTGATGCCAAGCCAGAGATAAAAGGATATTTATCCTCAATATCTTATCTGCACTTCTAAAACAGCCCAACAATGTTCAGTCAGGTCATCTGGACGGTTTCTTTTTTGTGCTGAGATGTTTCTTCCGTCATCCAACAAACTTCCAGGATTTTATTCCTGAATTATTGAGCATGAACTTTGGTGTTTTGAACCACTTTGACATTACTGTCGAAGAAGTCAGTTGGATAAAAGAATTAAACCCTACCCCTTATAGACAAAAATTAAGGGGTCACTTCTAATGGAGAGGGGAAACTAGATAATGGACCTGAGCCTTACAAACACAATACATTGATCTAAACTTGCATTATCCACCTTATTCCTGGGGGCTCTACTGTATAAACGATCATGGGTACAACTTCCTGTCAGACAGGAAGTAGCAGTAAGCATTGGTTAACCATAACGTTGTACCTGTAACGCTCATTTCACTTTGTTGACAATCGGCCGACGGAGGAAAACCTGCATCCTACTTTGTGTCTGGACTACAATAAACCACCAGAGAAGAGACACACCCACAATTCACACAAGGAACCATGGGGGCTAGGAATAAGGTGGATAGAAAACAGAATTGAAATGTCGGGGTGGTGAAAGCTTTAGAAAAGGGAAAATGATTTCTTCAGAAAGACAGTAGACCACAGCAGCTATGTTCAGGTTTAAATGCATTAACACATACAGTATATGTGCTTGTGTTTAACACATGCTGCTGATAACACTGTCTGCTGTGCAGCCCAAGTCTACAGATGGCTCGATCAGGCAAGTATGCCAACGTTGCCCTTTTGTACTTTGACTCTAATCGTACTGTGCAGATAAGTCATATAAGGCAGTTCTGCTGTCTCTTCTGTCTCACCTCATGGGGCAGAAGACTGCTGAAGTTGCTTGGATTTGGTCCAACTTGAAGCACTAATCTTCCCTCAGTAAGAGCTGGAGTGAGAGTATCATTGCAGCAGCAGAAACGTGTGTTTTAATCCCTAACATACGGCCATTCATCTGTGGGGTCTCCTACAGGAAATCTGACTACTTGTAATGTAGTTTTAAAGCTACCGGTAAATGGACTGTACTTATACAGCACCTTCCTATTTTATCAAGGCACTCAAAGCACTTTACAACACAACCTGTGCCCTCATTTACCCATTCATACAGCACTCTACTAATATCTACAAAGCTAAATGAAAAAAATCATTCTAAAGAGACTAATCAGTGCTTAATCACATTCATACACTGATGGGACACACATCGGAGACAATGAGGGGTTCAGTGTCTTGCCCAGGGACACTTCGGCATGTGACTGCTGGTGGAATCAAACCCCCAACTGTTGCACTGGAGGACGACTGCTCTAACCAGTAAGCCACAGGTACTTTCAATTGCAATAATGACAATCATATTTATTGTGTCTAAAACTGTTCAAAGTACAATTTACGTGTACATAGTATTCACCGGTCATTCAATGTGTTTAACTTATATCAAACCACTGAAGAATCCTCAAGGCCTTCTAAGCCTTCAGAGAAGGCCTATGAATTCAGCTAATCTAAAACAAAGGGACTTAAAAAAGTTAAGAAAGAAAAACCATCAAGAGTTGCTAAATTAGGCTCCAACCCTCCTGCAACTATGAATATGACTACGCAGGTACCGAAATTTAATGTGTGGATGAATAGTAGACCAGACAAAGTCCAAATATCTACTGGCAAAAGCTAAATAAAACTGTGCACAAACAAATGTCTGTAAATCTCAGTGAACTGGAGCACCGTTGTCAGAATGAGAACATTCCTACACATGCAAGGCTAATGAAGCCAAAAAGACGTTGGTCACGTCAAATGATTGCTATTCATAGCGACTCTGCAAGTGTGCAAGATGTGCACAGTGTTTCATGGATTGCTTTGTTTTTTGCCAAACATAAAGATGCAGTCGTACATCTGAGGTTGTACTTAAAACAAAAAAAGACCCGAGGATTTTGACACATGAAACCCTTGAACTGTCAGAAGATGTTCTTTCTTAGATGAACTGGGGAGGGAATGAAAGAGGCTTCCAGCATGGAAGTGTAGCCAGAAACTGTCCTACTTATGTACTTTTATCATTTACAAGTGTTTATTTCACTGTCTGCTCTTTATCACAACCATCATCAGCTTGGTTGAATTAAGTAGATATGAAAAGATTAAATAATTATTTTTGAAACGTATACAATTCCTCTTTGTGCGCTTAGTGTGACAAGCAATTAATTTAAACGCCAACTACGGACACCTTTACAATGCACAATTCTCTGTAATCCCTCAAACACCAACAAATGAAACAATCTGGAAAGATGAGACACAAAGAAAATTATTTTAAAAAGTGAGCAAAAAGTGATGGGCAAATAAACCAGAATTAAAAACAGTAAAAAACATCATAATTTAAAGTGTAATATCGATAAAGGGAGGAAAAGGAGCTTTGTTTTTTTTAACTTGAGATGAGGTTTGAGAGATGAATCTGCAGAAGCTGCAGTCTATTACTCACAGTGTAGAGTTCATTTGTCACCTTCACCAGCTCCTCGTGCATCTGGATCCCAATCTCTTTGCTCTGAAAAATAAAAAACAGAAAGAAAGAAAATGAAAAGATTGAAAATAACACGGATATTTGTCAGCAGTGACCTGACTGGACAAACTCCATTGCTTGTGCTGACGCTATGACTTTGGCGAGACAGAAAGAAACAGTGAATGGATGACCATAAAAACTGATCCAGACGATGTTTTTGAAGTTTTTCCTTTAGTTCAGATTCACAAACACCCACCACCATTACAATGTCAACGAAACATTGGAAGTAAGTTCGCAACCTTCAACTTTGTCATATTTTTCTTTTACAAATCTTCAAAAGTTTTGTTATTTGATTGAAAAGGGTCCATGCATATGAAACAGTAATCTTACAAAATAAAAATAAAAAACAATGTGTCAGATTTCATCACTGGCTATTTTCCATCTATGGTCCTTTGCAGGAAACATCCATACAAAATACACATAAAATGCAAATACAAACAAAAATTATAAAATTAAAAACAGTTATTTTATTTGCACAAATTACTCTCACTTTCAGCTCATCCCGTTTTTTACAACCATGTTTGCACAACTAATTTAAAAACTCATAAAAGACGGGCAGTTAAAAATCAGTCATTAATAATAACGACAATGGTTGATAAAAAAGCCACATTTCAGCATCAAGGTAAAAAATTACACATATTTAAAACAAGGAACTTTTCACATAATTTCAAACCATCAGGAGGCGTGCTCCATTTGCACGATGGCCCTGAACAAAAAAAGGTGAACTGACCAAGAGCCTCGTTTCCTTTAGAGGCTTCAAACGGTGGACCTGGATGGTCTCATCCTCTGTTCAGTTATACAAACATGATTTGACCATCAAAAGACAACATATTGTATGGAAAGTATATTTCACTATATTGACACACAGTTCTGATTCAGTACTTGCCAGACCTTGTCTGTACTTGTACTCGGACTAGTTTTAATGTGGTCTGACAGAGCTGAAACCAGAAGGACATGATGTTTTTAGTGCAATCCTTTGGTTCAAATACCTGTGGACAGTCATCTCAGTTTTCAGTATGAGGCGCAAAGATTTGAACCCAATTAAAACTTCTTTGTGTTCATATGACAGACAGACTACATGATCAAACCCCAGAAAAAGATCATTAATGTACAAGCTGATTAACTGTGGTCCCAAAACTAAGCCCTGTGGTCCGTAATCCCTGTGACAGCCATAGCATGATCCAAGGACACCGAGAATAACTGGACAAGTAAGAGCCTCTTTTGCATCGTTTGCTTTCATATATAAGAGTACCATATTTTCCACCGTACATGTCGCACCGCCCTATAAGTTGCATCAGTCCATATTTGTCTAATAAAGTGGAAAAATCCATAAATATGTAGCTTTGCCGTGTCGCGTTTGTCACGCGTCACCGCAGACAACCCAGAAATTTGGGCCGGTGTTGTGCCAAAAATCGATTGGCTGCCAAATGGCGGCTGTGGGAGCGAGCATAAGGAGAACTTTAACAAGAATTTAGCAATATTAACACTAAAAAACTATTATTTGTTTGCTTGAAATTATAGCAAAGATGTGTCTCAGTCTAACTTTTTCTTAATAAATGCACTTTGACCATCAAATCAGCTGCATTTTCAAAAGCAGATACGTGGAAACATGAACACACAGAGGGCAACTTGCTGTCCATTTCTTTGAAACTTAACAAGATAACCACCTAAAAACAATTATTTGTTTGCTCGACTTTATAGGAAAGGTGTGTCTCGATTGAACTCTTACTTAATAAATGCACTTCATTGGTCAAATCAGCTGCATTTCGCCAGTGCGGCACAGCGAAATTAAGCTGATTTGACGGTTGCGCCAGGCAAACGACATTGACAGTCAACGCCAAGTCTATTACATGATACAAGGGCATGCCATATCGGTCAACTGCTATCAAGCGGCTGAAAATGCTAGTGTTCAATATTTTCAGTCAGAATGAATGAAAACGGTCATATCTCTACCAAAAATTGGTTTATAAATATTATGGGACAAATCCATAAATACGTCGCTTCGGCATATAAGTTGCAGGGCATGCAATTTATGCAAAAAACTGCGACTTATAGGGCAAAAAATTTGGTATATTCACAAGTGAGACTGTTAATGTTCACATATCAGGTTTACCAAGAGCTGAAGACAATGTGTGACTTCCAATGACAAAAACAGTCTATCTGTAATGTTTCATGTTTCACTGAACTGATATATGTCACTAATACTATTTTAACTTTCTATTTACAATTGTACTGAAAACAGATGGTTAATAATTCCATTTACCTGTGATGTTAATCCCCTATATTTCATAAACACTTAAAACACAAATGATTATTCTCACAGCTTTTACCAGACATGTGTCTGGACTTGTTCTCAGGAATTACACCATGCAACATAATTCGTGTTTAAAACCATGGTCCCACCTCCCTAAAAGGAGAAAAAAATTATGGCTGGGCAACATCTGAACACCCAGGTGTGAAAATGCACAAAAAACACAGGATCTGTCCGTTTGAAGGCCTTCCATTGAAAAAAGGATCACTTCTGCTAACTAGCTCAAGAAGTTATGATATAATTATTAATACAAGCATGACACAAATAGAAAACATGTTTCTGTCTTGCTTTATTTTTTCACTTTTTAAGTATGTTTTTGTTTTTCTTGTTAATGACTGAATTAAACTCACATAATTCAGTTTGCTTTGCATCCCTGTTTTAGGGACTCTGGGTTTTATTTGGGTACATTTCAATTTGTTGTGACAATATGCAGAGATTATCTTTATTTGAATGCAAACACAGAGCTTGACATAAACAGTGTTTATCAATTTGCTTCTTTTTTTTTCTTTTCCCAAGCACATGGAACAACACAACACAAACATTAGTCATGAAGTCAGTCACTTAGACAGTTGACTAGAGATGTGACGTTCACGAACGATCCGGATCGTGTGAATGTCTCATTACAGCGAATGATAAGAACCAAGCAGCATCTTGTATAGTCAGTTAGCACTCAGAGTATGTGTTGGGGATGATCATCAGCTACTACCACACCAATTAATTGGTTGTAGATGTTTCTTTATAATCTGTTAAGTAGTTCTTAAAATATTTTGCTAACAAACACACAAATTAGCACACTCACAAAGGCATATTAACCCATCTAACATGACAACAGGCAATAAATACTGTTTTTAATATTTCTTTATTTCACCAACCAGTTTATTATTCTTCATGCAAACATAGCTGTGGCAGTGGCAGAAAAAGCAACTGTTTATGTGCATTTTTTGATTTTTTTGCAAAACTAAACCGTATGTTACGAGTTATATATGATATGTGAGTGAGTTATAATGCATCATTAATGTCAACAGAGTTGGTAAATTATTTACATTAGACATCACTTTCCATAAAAAAAATCATTCATATCAAACTAAAAAAAAAAAGCTGGCTTGTGAATGAACAGCAGAAGCTTCCACTGTAGGACAAACTCTTTCTATTTTATTTAGGATCTAACACAATTAAAACATTAAATGTTACAGCTAATGATGCACTTTTCTTATACATGTCTAAAGCTTTTGACACTGTGGATCATGACATCTTGTGTCATAAGCTCTCAGAAATTGGTTTCTCAGATCATACCGTTGGTTGGTTCTCTATCTTTCAGGCAATGTGGTCAACATAATAGTATTTCCTCCAGTTATTTAAAATGGTATACCACAAGGCTCAGTCTTAGGACCCACCCTCTTTACAATCTACATAGGTAATGTAGGTCAGAGCATCCCTGATACATTCTTACATTGCTATGCTGATGACACAGTTGTTTATTGTCGAGGTAAAACAGTTACTAAGGCTTTCCAGCTTTTGCAATCCACCTTGACATCATTCAGACAGACTTGCTCCATCTCAAACTTGTCCTAAATGCAGATAAAACCAAAGGGATGTTCTTTTTCAAACAAGAAGTCGGTCCCAGCAGTTCTTCCTCTGATTTTATCCTCAAATGATGTTCCTATTGAGTTTGTCGTTTCCTATAAATATTTGGGTATCTTGGTCGACTCTAGGGGTGCACCGATAAATCGGCCCCATCCATCCATCCATTATCCTTTACCCATGCTGATAAGACTTATAAGAATGCTCTATTTATCCATCCATCCAATATCTTCTGCTTGTTCTGACGTCAGGTCGCAGAGACAGCAGCCTGACAAGGGAGGCCCAGACATCTCTTCCCACAGCCACTTCTTCCAGCTCTTCTAGGAGGACCCCAAAATGCTCCCAGGCCAACCGGAGGACATAGTCTCTCCAGCATGTCCTGGGTCTTCCCCGGGGTCTCCTCCATGTTGGACATGCCCGAAGAACCTCCCTAGGGAGGCGTCCAGGGATCATCCTTACCAGAGCTCATGACCATAGTTGAGGGAAGGAACGTAGACCGACTGGTAAACAGAGAGCTTGGGCTTACAGCTCAGCTCCCTCTTCACCACAACGGACCGATACAGACTCTGCAGTACTGCAGATGCTGCACCAATCCATCTGTCAGTCTCACACTCCAATCTTCCCTCACTCGTGAACAAAACAAAAATGCTCTATTTGGGGCAATTAAAATGCAACTGTGTGCATTGATAATTTCCTAACACATCTTTTTACCTCTGCAGAAGCTGTGTCATCTGTGCTGCTCAGACGTTCTGCTCGACAGTGACTTCACAAATGAACGTAGTAACTTTGACTTACCCAACGTTCATGAAATTTGCTTTTCTTGTTGCCAGATGGGAGGCAAAACTTCACAACCCCACTGTGAAACCAGATGTATGATCTTGTTGTATGAGTAATTCATGCGCACACGCCCCGATACAAACCACATCCACCAACAGTTCAGAGAAATTCAAAGGTAGGTGGAAGCTAACCTTCCTGTTCACACCCTGCTGGGCTTTAATAGAGGACCTGAACCAACCTGAAAGTGCTGAATCATCAATGTAGAGCGGGGGCGGGCAACGTTTTGTTCGCAAAGGGCCACTTTCCAAGTCAAAGC